TTTTGATATTTATTAATTTACTCTAGAGAATAATTATTATAATAAAATAAATGTGGAAACCTCGGATTTAAATCCGAGAGTTATGTGTACTTCAAAAAGTGAATTAGACAGATGAGTCATCCTAAAATGTGTGGACATCAAAATTATCCTCGTAAACCTTTTCTATAAACACATGAATTCTATTGGCTACTGCTCAACCAATAGAATTTAGAGCCGAATACAGCTCAGATTTGAACTTTTCGCATTGAATTACCCTAAGAAAATCGTTTTTCCTATAACTTGATTTCTATTGCTCCCTGCTCAACCAATGGTATTTCGAGGCAAGTGGAGTACAGATTCGAGTTCTCCGCCCCAGAAAACCTCGAAGTACCATCTCTGTGATCGAAAGATAGAGCTCTAATGTGAGTCAATCAGAGCGTGGACAAAAACAGAACCAATTTCCGTTTAATTATCGTTGCATTAGGCGAGTTAGCCTTCTTGTTTCTTTATGTTTTATATACCATTTTGTAGCTCGTGAAACTCTCTATCGAATAGTATATAATAGCTGGGGTTTTAATTGACTATGACAGGAAAAGTCTTTTACGAAAGCAGCGATGGGTCGATTTTTCCATAGGAAGCTATAGGGAAAAATGGGTATTTTTGCAATAACTCGGAAACGGCTCGGCCGATCCTTCTCATCTTCGAACTCAACCGAGATATTGTAAAGACTGAACTGTATAGAAAATTTCATCGTGATCGGACTCTCCTTTCGAAAGTTATCGTGTTAACGGCCGGCCGGACATACTGACCGATTCTAGAGTGTACTCACTTTTTGAGTACACAAAAAAGAAGAACTATGGTAGACTGGTCAAACAACTGAAACATAAGTTTCGTTCGATGTATATAGTTCTTCAAAAAACAGATAAATCTAAAGTTTTTCATTTAGGTAAATTACAAGATTATCACAAAAAATCCAAAGAATATATGGAAAAAACTGAAGCATATGAATGTTTACATCAAAATAATCCATTATCAAATTTAATTGAACGTACAAATAAATATCTATTAAACCTAAGATTAACTAAGTGGATTACACAGAAACAATATGAACAATTAGGCATTAAATCAAACGAAGTGGAAGTAGCTCATCTTTATTATTTACCAAAAGCTCATAAACCGGGCCCTCCACTTCATCCAATTATTTCTGGTTTCAAACATCCAACTATAAAAATATCAAAGTTTCTCGATGAATTACTTCGACCACTATTTAATAAAATGGCATCAAATATAACTGTTACTTCTAGAACTGAACTTATTAAACAGTTACATCAATGACCAATATGTAATATACATCAAGAAACTTTATTTTGTACAATGGATGTTTTAGATCTTTATACGATGATACCACAAACAGAAGGGATTTTATCAATTAAAAAAATGTTAGATTACTTAAACATAAAACAAATTAATGGTTTAAAAATTGAAACTATTAGTCGTTTAGGTCGATT